ACCCATAAATGCCGCGACGTATTTATTTTGGTTTTTTACAAAGTAATAAATAGGATCAGAATATTAATTTTTACCAATTTGATAAGAAAACCGCGCGAAAATTTCTTGTTTTTAATATAATTTAAAATATTAAAACACTTTTTAGACGTGTTAGACTTAAAACCGTATTACCATTAATGGAATTTAAAACTCGTTTCTTATGACCGCATGTTGGAGGTCACTTCGATGTCACTTCAATTATATAAACGACGAAAGCAATGCGTAGATATTTAAAATCAATTTTACGCAAAATATCAGGTAAATCTTCTATTACTGGCAACACTTAATGATCGAACAATCCTGTTATGTAGGACAATTTACACAATTACATATCGTGTGGCATGACTCGAGTATATTTGTAGTTAATAATATACCGAAGTTTGACAACAAGCTGTTCCCATGCGCATGAAATTATCTACACTCTATACATATACACTAGCACACTAGTTTTTGCCCGCGACTTTATCTGCGAGGAATTAAATAAAACAAAAGTTAGTAGCCTATATGTTCTTCCAGACTATCCTCTACATCTATACAAAATTTCATCGAAATTCGTTCAGCCGTTTAGGCTACAAACTCTAACAAACATCCATCTAAACTTTCGCATTTATAATATTAGTAAGAAGCAAGATGATAGATTGCTGTCTCTTTAGTCTAAGAGAATAAAGAAATATGCAGACGAAAATGCAAAAGAAATATACAGGCGAATTGAGTACCTCTTTTTCGCAAAGGAGTTCGGCCAAAAAGGGATAAAAATATTAAAATTACAGTGCTGTAGTCTGTTCTTAGATTGTTTATTGATATCGTAAATCACGTAGACGACAGACAGAATTTTATCTACTCGTATATCTATAATTATTAGTATTACTAAGATAACAAGGTATTACGAAATTGCAATTTATGATTATAGTAAAAAAAATCATGAAAATCCGTTCTTCCGTTTAGGCTAAAAATAAAATAATGTTTAATCCTTGTCAACACTACAATTATGAAAAAGAAAGTAATTAAACACAAAATATTGAGAAACGTAACTAATGAAATGAAAAAAAAAGATATATTTAAAATTAGCGTTGCAATGCTGACTGGATTGGGTCCGCGCTCAGTCATAAATACTGGATGCTCCTATCGAAGTACCGGCGCTGATCTTCCGCGAGAACCCTTGGAATCGTCCACACGTCAGTAGTGGCGGATAGGTAGAAATTATCACATACATATGAGTAAAAAATAAAATGAAAGAAAAAATTCGTACATAAACATGTTATGAAAAATAAAATGTATACAAAACTACAACACAGTTTAAAAGAGTCAGTATTGGAATAACACAAAAAGAATGTGTCCAAACTGTTTTAAAAGAGAGAGAAAATAATCAAGGGAAGAGATAAAAATTTAAATTTAAAAATAGAACTTTATGAGTTTAACGTTTTTGAACAGATAATAAAAGAACTTTTAGTTTTCTTTAAAAGTCAACTTAGTTTGCGCATAGGTTACAAACTCTAACATCCATCCATCTAAACGTTTGCATTTATAATATTAGTAAATATGGGTATGTACAGTCGGGGAATCTGACGGTGTCCCATCTTAAATAATATAATCTGTAACTAAATTACGCTTAAATTTTCTATGGACATTGAGATGACACTGAAAATCCATTGGACATTTTTAAATGTGTTTGTACGTATAAATTATTATCTATACTATTATAATAAAGCGTAAACACACACTTCTTTGTTGCCTAAGATGTCAGCAATTACAGTATATTTTTGAATAATTATCTTTTTTAATAAAAAGCCCTACACTTATGTCACGCTTTAGGCTATAAATTTTCACGTCATTAAACTTAGGGGATCAATATTTTGTATAAAAACACTAATGTGGGAAAGAGACCATAAGTTGCTGCCAACATCAAGGAAGCAAGGTTGTCATCATATCATGTCATTTTGACATTTGTAATTGATAATTTGACAAATGTAAACAATTTCATGCGTATGAAGTCGCACGAGAACACCTAGTCTATACTAATATTATAAAGAGAGGCGTGAAGTGGAAGCGATTCCGCGTTTCGTCTGATGAGTGTGGTGCCAGAGGCCTAATTTTAGTCCCTTTTCCTTTCCATCCTTTTTTTAACAGGAGAGGATGGGAAGGAAAAGTGGATTTGACGGTGGAGGGAACGCATAGGAAGGGGAAATGTCCTCTTTAAGTGCGTGTCCTCCTCCGTAAATTTAGGGTAGGCAAAGCATCTGCAATTGCGGATGTTATGGGCAGCGGCCGCTTTCCATTTCGGTGGATTTAGGTAGCTTGCTCATTTACCACCTTATGTTATAAAAAGGAAAGATTTGTATTTTTGTAATTATTGAAAAAACTTTAAATGTACAAGACCGATTTCAAAAATTCTTGCATCATTAAAAAGCTATGTTATCACTGACTAACGTAGGCCATTTTTAGAATTTTTTCAAATTTCACGCGGGTAAGTCGCGAGTAACAGCCATTTATTATATGTAAGGTGGAGTTTGCGCATTGCAAGGAACAAGACAATTATTCTGTAAATTCAACACCGCGGATTTCCCCGATTGTACATATGTTATTCTAATAACGTAAAACCTACTCACGCGTAATACAAGCCACGAGCCTTCATAATGTGTGAATCATAATATACATAAGGAAAACCTGTTTTGACCTTACAAGATAACGTATTTACTGGCATTTAGATATCTATATGTATTGTCTATATTCTGAAGAGGAAAGATTTGTATTTTTGTATGTATTGAAATAACTAACTCAACAACAAGGCCAATTTTAAAAAATCTTTCACCAAAATTTCGTTATCACTGAATAACATTGGCTATATGGTATTTATTAAAATAGATATTTCCGCGGACAAAGACGAGAGCAACAGCTAGTATTGACGAGATGTCGCCCGCAAACTTCGTTAGCGCGGAATTAAAAAAATGGTCGTCTATAACATTCCCTCACCCTTTACCAGCTACCTTCCATACAAAGTGATAGATTCCTACACAGAAGATAGGCGTGAAATGGAAGCAATTCCGTGTTTCGTCTGATGAGTGTAGTGCCGGAGGCCTAATTTAAGTCCCTTTCTCTTGACCACCCTTTTCTTATAAGGAGAGGATGGGAAGGGGAAGTGGATTTGACGGTGGAGGAGATCCATAGGAAGGGGAAATATCCTCTTTATATGCGTTACCTCCTCCGTCGTATAAGCGTAGGCAACGCATCTGCAATTGCGGATATCTATGGGCAGCGGTCGCTTCGCCATTTTGGTGGATTCAAGTGGCCGCTTGCCCGTTTGCCACCTTATGTTATAAAAAAAAAGTCCCGTCAAATTAAAAATCCCTATAATACAATCGACCATATCAGCTACCTTCAGGTGAAAGTCCTGTTAGTTCGGGACGTGACGTTTATGCCGACAATCTAGTGTTGCATCAATTCTAGAGCACGGTACTAATATTATTTTAAACAATAGATGTACATAGATGAGGGTAGTTAATGTAAGAAAAAGCGTTTTTTTATATGTTTTAAAAGTGACTCTAGGGTAATATGCACTTTCCATTAATTGAATTATTTTAACTGAACAGTGGGAATAGTTCAGTTAAGACTGTAGTTGAAAGCGTCGTGGCTCGTGGTTTAAGCACTTGACTTGTAATACAGGTCTTGGGTTCGAATCCCGTCGTACCAATGTGATATTCGATTTTTAGAATTTTCATATGTACATAATTTACCCTACGTTCTTACGGTGAAGGAAAACATCGTTATGCCTGCACATATCGGAGAAGAAATTCAAAGATATGTGTGAAGTCAACCAACCCGCAGTGCAGCGTGGTTGACTATGGCCTAGTCACCCCTGATTAGGGTAGGCTCCGAGCCCCTCGGTGGGGACATAGAGTGAGCTGGTGATGATGATGATGATGATAATATAGTTAAAACTTCATAGTTTAATTTGATTTGAAACAATATTATATTAGTATTATAGTCTTGTGCGATATTCTGAGCTTCACTAAAGTTTGAATATCAATGTACAGATGTGCTGGGAATACCGCAATAACAATAATTCCCCACCACGCAAATGTAGTGATGTACTATCCCTTTGTTTAAATGCTCATTTTATTTTATTTATTCATTTATTTATTTAAAATTGTATTTTTTTCATTATTAGAACATTTTTATAACAAAAAAAAGAAATCGGCATAGATGTAGAGCATAACCTAAAAGAATGCAGGCTACTTAACCATCTTTTTTAATTCCGCGCAGACGAAGTCGCGGGCCCAAGAAAGAAGGTATATTTATGACTGCACGAGCTGTTTCCCGCGACTTCGTCCGCGTGGTATTAGAAAACATACGAACTATATAAATAACAAAAAGCTACGTATCCCTCGGGAACCGGAGATTTCTCGGGGATGAACCTTATCCCATGTGTACTCCAGACTTTGTTTTATATCTGTGCCAAATTTCAATAAGATATGTTGAACCGTTGCAGAATGATCGAGTAAACATTAAAAACTGAATTAATGAATCCCAAGGGAACCCTAATTATTCCCGGCATAAAAAGTAGCCTATGTGTTCTTCCAGACTATGCCTTAAACCTGTGCCAAATTTCATGGAGATCCGTTAAGCTGTTTAGGCTACAAATGCTAACAAACATCCATCTAAACTTTTGCATTTATAATATTAGTGAGATTGCAACGATGGGTTCATTCAATTGCAAGTAAGATATCCTCGGCGGTATTTCCAAACCAATACGACTTAGGGTCCTTCAAGAAGCGAGCCTATCATTTCTTCAATGGCCGGCAACGCACCTAGTTCCTCTAGTGTTGCGGATGTCCATGGGCGTCGTTCATCACCTCGGTGTTCTCGCCGCTCGTTTGTCCACTTTTATTATAAAAAAAGATCTGTCAAGTACATCACTATAATGCGATTTAATTTTCTTGAATTGACCTCAGTCGTGATATGATTTAGCCAATGGCAGTCGTGTGAGGAAGGTTGTTTTTTAAAAGGTTAATTTAGCACTTCATAAAGTGTTAAATTAGTGAAATGTTATACAAATTGTTTGTTATCGTATGTGAGTATTGGAATGTTTTTTAGGCCTTACTTTAGTCGTTTTCAAATTACTTTCTTTTACTTTACAATTATAGAAAAAAATTGATTAAAAAACCAGGAAAACAAAAACATTTTGTAGCCCGTTATTGTTTTTTTATCTAGTTATAATTATGAATAACTCGTTTGAATTTAATTCTTGGCCTGTGATGCTTTTAAGTTATTTGAATATATTTTAATTGGTTATAACTTTTATTGTTAATTATTAACCTGTTTTTAATAAATTTCAATTTCAATTTCATATGTTTATGAGTAGTGTCCGATTTGGCACGTCAATAACAAGGGCACTCTATTGAATGATGTGCCAACTCAAGACCGGATGTTTCCCGATAGGTGACCCACCGATTCAACGAACCAATATTTCCTTTTGGCTCGATTGATATTGTTATTACAATTGTTAATAACATAACGATTGCTTTGTCTCAAATCATGCACGAGTTCTGACTTCGTTCCTCGTAATGACATTTTTAGATAAAAAAACAACGCCATCTGTTGAAGAAATGTAGGTATTAATGATTTCTTTGATTTATTTCAGTCGCAAGCCAATCTGCATGGTGTCAAATACCAAAAGAAAATGGATTAAGGTAATTTTTTCTTTATATTCTGCTACTGACTAGCGAAACGATTCGAACTAGATTAACTACTCTATATATTTTTTTTATTAGTGATAACCACTCAGCATATGTGCGATCTTCCTGTGCTGATATATCCAGTTTTCCAACTTTTCGGAACTAAATCATTAACACAAAATGTCGACATTACCCTGTTCAGTTGCCGCTCCTTAATTGGTCAAAATATTACGCTTTCAAGACATTGTTAGTTGACAAAATTACATTAGAATATCTTGCGTGTGTACTACGGTTCTCTAAAGTTAAGTTCCTCGTGCGATCTTACAAGATGTTTGACAAAACTGGTAAATACCTTTAGATATTTCCACAAACGACTTCCTTTAAAATATAGACGGACGGCCATATTAACAATACCTGTAAATTAGTTTAAATTATAGACGGACGGCCATATTAACAATACTTGTAAATTACTTTAAAATATAGACGGACGGCCATATTAACAATACTTGTAAATTACTTTAAAATACATAAACTGAACTCCAATGCAAATATATCGAAAATTCCGTTGTGGTTGTGACGACTAGTAAAACACAGATTGATGGCGACTGAGCGCCGAGACTGCAACACCCGAGCCACTCCTTGCCATATTTTTTATAAAACTACCCCTCACTATTCCTTCCGTTTCCTAATATTTTCCCAACAATATTGTTGTTTTAAATAAAGATAAATGTATTGATAGTACAGATTAACAAATAACTTTTAAGAATACAGAATACATCTTATCTTACTAATATTACAAATGCGAAAGTTTAGATGGATGGATGTTTGTTAGCGTTTGTAGCCTAAACGGCTGATCGGATCTCCATGAAATTTGGCACAGGTTTATAGCATAGTCTGGAAGAACACATAGGCTACTTTTTATCCCGGGAATAGTTACGGTTCCCGTGGGATTCATTAGTTTAGTTTTTTAATGTTTACATGATCATTCTGCAACGGTTCAACATATCTTAATGAAATTTGGCACAGATATAAAACAAAGTCTGGAGTACACATGGGATAAGCTTCATCCCCGAGACATGTCCGGTTCCCGAGGGATACGTAGTTTTTTGTAATTTACATAGTTCGTGTGTTTTCTAATACCACGCGAACGAAATCGCGGGCAACAGATCGTCAAAAATAGTTAAATAACAATACGAAACAGGAAGGAAAATAGAAATAGTTTATTGATATGTTGAACACAATTAATATAACAATTATATAGTATTTCTATAGGTAATATTGAACAACGTAATTGCAAATTAATTGTTCCACGTCATACTGCCTATAAAACGTTAAAACTATATTTTAAAGTGGAACACTGCGACATTCCTCGATTGTACATGCTTGATCATGTTACCGTACGGCTTCATGTGCATAAAATTATAAAAACTTTATCTTATTATTTACATTTGTCAAATTCTCAATTGCAAAGGTCACAATAGGCAATATGCATATGACGCCAAATTGTACCAAACTTTTTTTAAGTATACTTTATTACTATAAAAACAGACCTGCAAAGATTTTTTTAAATATAATGTGATTTAGTGGCAAAATTTAATCATTAAAAAGTGTCTTTTTTCAAATTCCTTCGTTAAGTTCTAAAACGCACACTATTGGTCGAAGCAAGTGGCTTATCTATGGCGTCGCTGTGCTGACAATACACAGTTCACTTACGTTAGTTTATATAGAAATACACTCTTGAAGTATTTTACTGTAAACACCATATCAAAACCAACTTTAAAATAAAAAATTAATAAACAAACTTTAAAATAATAAATTAATGAATAGAATTATAACTCCGGTCGCGTTTTAGTCGCTTGAAAATGGTCGTAATTTTATTTTATTATTTTTAGCTCAATGGTTGAATATTTTCGCGTCAATTTATGTGGTTATTTTACAACAAGTAGAATCGTTTAAAAAAAGAAAAAAAATACATGCATATTCCCTATTGCTGTTACCACAATAACCTTGCTTCCTTAATGTTGACAGCTTGCAATTTATGGTCCCTTTCCCGCATTATATTTTATATCCAATTTACCCCCTAAGTTTATAAATATATTGCCTTAAGCTTGACGTAAGTGTTTTTTATTAAAGAAAGAGTTATTCAAATTCGTGTGTTTACGCTTTATTATATTAGTATAGATTATTAACCAATTGCTTAATCGATAACATTATTTTCAGTATCAAAGACGATAAACCGAAATGCATACTTCCTGCTTACCCTAAACACGGCAGATATGTGACACAGGGCCGGACTGATGGTAAACCAGGATCTATCTACGAAAGTATATTACTAAACGTCACTTGTGACAAGGGCTATGTTGCGAATGGACAAACCTCCATTTTCTGCTTCGAAGGAAATTGGTCGAATCTTATTCCAGACTGTATACGTGAGTATATATTTTTTTTAAATACATGGGACTTGGACCAATATTCATTCATTGATCCTTAATTTAGTAAACAGCCTATTTCTGAAAATTCCCATGTTTAACAGTGGCATGGCCCGCTTAAACCGCACAAATAGGCCGGCTCGCTCGGTGCAATAACACGACACAGAAGACATGCGTCAAGTGGAAACAATTCCGCTTACAGTCTGATGAGTATGCTTACCCGAGGTCTAATTAAAGTCCCTTTCCTTTTCCACCCTGTTCTGAAAAGGAAAGGATGAGAAAAGTCGATTTGACGGCGAAGGAGATGCATAGGAAGGGGAAATATCCTCTTTATGTGCGTCTCCACCTCCGTCGATTAAGAGTGGGCAACGCATCTGCAATTGCGGATGTGTATGGGCAGCGGTCGCTTCGCCGTTTTGTTGGTTTCAGGCGGCCGTTTATTCGTTTGCCACCTTATGAAATAAAACTTTTTAATAAAAAAACAAAACCGACTTCCAAACAAAATACACGAAAAACAAAACAAAATGCACTAAAAACAAAACAAAATAC